ATACGTATTTCTTCTGCAGACGGAGGTATACTGGTTTAGCTTAAGCCTTTTGTCAATTGTTGGTCTGCAATAGGTTTTTGTTTTCCAGATATAATCTACACAGCAATGCAGTTAAAACAATGTTATTCAAGCAAAACAGAATCGATAGGTGTGCTGATATGATATTGAGAAGTATGTTTGCGTTTCAGTACGAAGTATTTATAAAAGTTCCAGTATTATTCAAGCGTATTCAATTGATTAGATAACAGTACTTGTAAAACCTCCATTATTATTAAAAGCTAGGTACATCTGCCTCTTATTTTAACATCTTGTTCTACGCATTAACACAATTTACTTAGATGCTCTTGTAATCAAGGCGGAGGTGGAGTAATTTTGTGAGGATAATTGATACGAATGCAAACTGCAAAAAGTAATACTAGAGTATGATGAACAATAAGGTCAATAACAAGAAGAAGAAGGAGATGAATAGATTTCAAAGCCGACGAAAAAAAGGAGGGCATTTTCAACATTAATCTCTATTCTATGCACATATACTTCGTTTGTACTCCATACTCTGTAATAGACTTGATCTATTTGCATAATTGCATGCGATGCAACACATGTTTTAAATTTCTAAATTTATACGAATTACGTAATAATTCCTCTGTTATATACTTATATTCTCAGTAGTCACTACATAAATCTACAAATTAACACCACGAAACCAGCTGATAACATTCAACCGTAGTTGATAGCAAATTCAGCAACACACATTTCTCACTTATCTTGACAATCCACGGCTTTTTCCTAAACCAATTAGGGGTACTCTAAGACCCAATAACCATGCTTTACATTCACATTATCACCCCCAACTCAACACCACAAAACGAGCTATATTTCGAGTATTCGTATTCCATCCATCAATGAGAGTTGAAAGCACTCTAGTAAAACAAATTTCTTACCTTTATACAAAGAACGAACTCGAACAAAGACATGCTCATACAAGGTTTAATACTATACCATTTTTCATGAAATTTGTTGCAAAACATTCCTTAAACATAGCATAACAACATGGAACAAACAATTTCAAGAATAATGGACCGAATTGAAAACTCCCAAATTCAAAATTTAGGGTTTTTTTGTCCGATTTTTCCCAATTTTGACCAAAAAAACTGCAAAATTATTTGACAAAATCTAATAACCGAATGAAATATTAAAGACAAAAAATAACTTAACAATTATCCATGAAGAATTACAGAACACAGCTAAGTCACCTCGACTTCTGCTGCTTCCCTTCACCGCTGCTGCACTGCTGCTCTGAGTTCGTTTCTGGTTTGTTGCTGAATTTCGCTGCCCAGAATGTCGCCTGATAAGCTCCTCTTGCCTCGTATTTCGCCTCCTCCTTTCCGCAATTCGTACCCCAAAAACCCCAAAAAAATACGGATCTGAATTACCCCAAAAAGGCGAGAAAGACGAGAAATAAGGGGAAGGAGAAACAGAAGGGGAAGGAGAAACAGAAGGGGAAGGAGAAGAGAAAGAGATTCAAAGAGGTTAGGGAGATTCAGAGAAACAGGGGGAATAGGGGAAGGAGAAGAGAAAGAGAGCGAAGGAGAGGAGAGTGTATACGGGTTTTTTTTTTTTTTAAATTGGCAACGGTTAACCGTTACCAAACTGTACGGTTTGGCAACGGTTTGCCAACCTCTATCCCTTTTTTTTTAAAAAAAAAAAATAATAATTTAATCAATTGGCAACGGTTAACCGTTGCCAATTTAAAAAAAAAAAAAAAAAAAAGGGGTAGAGTTGGCAACGGTTTTCATGAACCGTTGCCATAGGGGGGTTGCCTATTTCTGTTTTTCTACTAGTGTTAAGACTTGAATTGAATTAGGGGTTTTGCTTATTTCGTCAATTAAAAATTTAGTGTTCTAAACTGAGCAATAAAAAATTAGGGTTTCCCATATGTTCAACAATTTATAATTTAAAGGCCACAAATTTCATAGGAATTACTACGAAGTACATTGTACCTCGTTCATCCTTGTTTTTGTTTAGCATTTACTTTTCCTTTCCCTTTAACCATTGATGTAGTTTCACCCTCTGACATGGAATTACCCAAAATAGCAAGAAGATGAATAGTAAAAAGAGAGACATCAAAGAAAAGGGTTTTAGGTCCTGTCAATTTTCTAAAAAGGGGATGAATTTGGATATTTGCTTAGGTCATCAAATTAAGATGATGAAAGGTGAAAGGTGGAAGGTCAAAGAAAAGGGGTAAAAATGGAGGGAAAGTAAAATAAGGAAGAGAAAGGTAATTGAGAAGGGTAGTTAATTGGGTGGGTAACCGTAGGAGTGGGCCCCACAAACAGCTCAATTAGATGGAAATTATTTATGGGTAGTGCTAGATAAACATTTGCGATCTTACAGGTAGTTCTAAACAAAATTAAAAAAGGGGGGGGGGGGTAGTTGTTCACAAAATAACCTATTTTTAGGGTAGTTCTACACAAAATTTCCTTTTATTTATCCAAAACCTAAACTCCTACATTGTTTTTATAGTTTGAATTAATTGTACTTCCTCCAATTTATGTTAGTTGACACATTACATTTAGGCACGTTTGCCAACGCATACTTAATGTGAATATCTTTAACAATGTATTAGTAAACATCATAAAAATGTGGTATTTGAAAAATAAACGTTGAGATGAATCTAACAAGACCAACATGTCTGTGTTTTTCTCCAACACTGAATCACAAAAAAGAAGTCAAACTAAGTTATGAGAATATTGCAAAAAGTCAAAATGTATCGACTAAAAGAACTGAAAGAAGTAATATTATTAGTAACTAGTTTTTGGCCCAGGCAATGCCTTAGGTCAATATATGTATATTATAAATGAAGTTTTATAATAAAAAAAAATATGTAATAAAATACAAATATAGATTAAATTAGTTATATTTGTTGTAAATAAAGGAGTAGTCTAGTATAAGTAAGATAAAAAAGATGAAAATTCTAATGTAGTCTTACGACTTTTGACCACCACAATTTTTTAAAATGGGCGGCTGAGATTATTTGTTTTTTGATTTATTTTTAATTAGTAATTTTAATTAAAAAATCATTTTTTAATTACTTTATACATTTTTTTATTTCTAGAATTTCAAAAATATTAAAAAATAATTTCTGGAAGATAAAAATATATTTAAAATTATTAAAAAAATTATTTTTAATTAAAATTACTAATTAAAACTAAATCAAAAAACAAATAATCTCAACTGTCCATTTTTAAAAAATTATGGTAGTCAAAAGTCATAAGACTACATTAGAATTATTTTCAAAAAGATAATCTCACAAACAATGGAACAATGTCGGTGTGTCGTGATGCAAATCACTGACTTGAAAACGAATTTCTGGCGCAACCAAGGTGCTCAATTGTATTCGCCGCCACGTTCGCTAAGGCTAACACACCCCCTTCCACACAATGACACTTTTGGGTGGAAGGTTTAAGTCAAGTAACTTATGCCCAATAGAGAATGCGTTTAGATTATTGTGCTTGATGTATTTTACAAGTGTAAAAATCAGAGAAAAAAAAAGGCTTCTTCTATTTATAGAGAAACATGAAAGAACATAGAAGAACAATCCTAAGCATCAAGGGAGGTGAATAATCACCTTAAACATCCTCTTAAATGGGGGGTTATGAGAGTTACTTATCAAGATTGTGGTGATCAATCACCTTAAACAACCTCTTAAATTGGGGGTTATAAGAATTACTCAAGATATAAAGTGAGGGAATCTAAAGATCAAACCGTTAGAGTCCAACAGGCCAACACGCATCCGATCAGGCGGTTGAATTCCCTTACTTTATTCCAACAACATTTACTTCAGTACTCGTGCTATTTAAATATATTTTTCCAATCATTATTGAACATCAAAATATTATCCAATATTTAGTATTTAAAATTATTAATTTGCTTCGTTCGCCTACAAGTTTATGAATATAATTAACTCTTTTTAACAAAACATTGTAGATATGAGATGTGTCATTGGAGTAGTGGTTGAAGTTAAAGTATAATAAGCATGAGGTTATAGGTTTGAACATTAATGCTAACAATTCATTATTTTTTTTAATGAATTATAGTAATTGTATGACATGTCGCCTCATCATCTGCCTAATCATGATGACACGTTGTAATACCCCAAATTCTTAATTATATTTAGTCAACGATTTTTCTAATATAAACTTTTAAATTAATTATTATTTTCAAATTTATATGTTATAGTAATAAATTTTATAATTATTATTTTCTATTTTCGGATTTTAAAAAAAAAAAAGAAAAAAAAAAGAGAAACTGATTTCCTAGAATTGGTTTTATCAGATTGAAATAAAAAACAAATTCTATTTGAAAATCAATTCTTATCTTGTAGACCTTCTGGATAAATCCACCTTCACAATACTAAGTTTATAAATGCCCAATCCCACACACCTAGATTGCTGTGAGAAATACTAGCTCCAAGAAGCTTTCTTTTCCCTCAAACCTATTCTTCTTTAATTTGTGTCATCTGCTAAAACACCAACCATAATTGATTGAGTATAGTGGTAATCCATGGTTCTTCTTCACTTTCATCCTTCTTCATAATAATTATCAGCCAACCCACTACAAACTACGCCTTCGTTCATTGACCTTGAGTTATATTTCTATGGTTTCTTCCGATTCATAGATTAAGGAGTACGATTTTTATTTATTTTTTTTTTTTTTAAAAAAAAAAAAGGTTTTTGTTTCTGGTTTTCCGTAATTGTAAGACGATTCTTACAATTACAGACATATGATTAGGCGTGCAAAACTATGGTGGGAAAGATAAGTAATTATTTTATAAAGTTACAAAGAGTTTGGCAGACTTTTTTTTTTAAAAAAAAAAAAAAAGAAATTTACTTTCTCCTTCTTACGTAATGATGCACTATTAACGAGCATCAAGTACTAATGATGTTGCCTACCTATTTCGATTAGTATACTAAGACTAACTTGGACCCATTTATTTGTAGATGGAGGAGACTACTAGGTGAATGTTTCGGAGGTTAATTACCCAGAAATTTTACGCACGATCAAGGTAATTTTCAATGTCGATCATCTTTAGAATCCCGTTAGGAAAATTATTTTGATTTATTGTATGTGCTTGTATGTGATGAGTGCATTAATTATCGTATGATACTATGGGGTCATATTTTTGATACTTTTATATTTTGTGTACTAGTATAAGTATTTTCGAAAATTTGATTAATTGGTATCGTATGAGTTTTTTTTTTAAAATAATTAAAATCTTGGGAACGGGATGATTGATTATATGTAATTGATGGTCTTCAAGGCCTATTGGGAAACGAGTTGTAACTAGTATGTCATGTAGAATGACTATGTTCTAATAATACTGAAATTGAAATATTGTTACTTGGGATTAAATTGATTTGTGCAATACTTGTGTGCAATGTGATCGGGCAATTTAATCTAATAAAATGAACATTAAATTTAAGAAGGGAAATGAAACCCGAAAGGGGTGAAGAACAAGTTGCTCACTAGTAGTTATGGAGGCTACTAGTTGGTTTGAATTAACGTATATTGCTGTCAGTCTTCCTCCTAATCACTGGGCATTAGTGAGGGGTGAGCACACTAGGGACATTCTATTTTAATTTATGGCCATTTGGGGTTACGTGCGACTCTCTGTAAAGTAGGTGGTGACAGGGAGTCCCGGCTTACTGGCGTTCTCTTTCTCTTTCTTAATAATAAGTAATAAAAGTGTTACGTGACAATTTGATATTGGTTTAGTATTATAATGTTTATTTAACTGTATTATGTATAACATATTTTCGAACTAAAATTATTTATTTTACGGGATAGAGTTGGAATTACTCAGTTTATCTGATTTTTGGAGTTTCCCTCTTTTTTTGTTTCTGATTTATTTTGCAGGTTGGTAAGAGGGTACTCGGTTACGTGTGAGGAGACGTTAGAATAATCACGTAGCTAAGATAATTTAGTTTACTTCCGAACTTATTTATTTTCTTTTTAATTATTGTTTTTTTTAAAGAAATTTGCAGTTTTGATGTAATGACTATTTTATTTTGCCACCACTTAGACCACTTAGTTATTAAATTGTATTTCGTTTTGCTTTGCATTTATTTTCAACGGAAAATAAGTGTAGTGGTAACACTCTTAGGGTTCGATGGTTGGGTTTGAAAGTTAAAAAGGTTACTCTTATTATTTTAAAAAGACTCGAATTTTGGGGGTGTTACACACATGGCTGGCTTATGTCTTCCCATTGAGTTTTAATATATATAGATATAGATTTAGTCAACATCATGTGGTGACCTTAATTAGTTTTAAATGATCGATATTATAACACGAAGTAACTAAATTTTATAGTCTATCTTTTCATGTTTAGATGCCATATCGAGTATTGATATGGATATCATATTAAGAGTTATTAATTATCGGATATTCGACCCGATAGCAATGATGGTTTGGATACTCGACCCATGACTACCCATCGTTGGTTAGCCAGCTTACCCTCCATGGCCTATTGGGTGCCAAATGCAACAGAAAAAGTATAGTAGAGTGAACCCAACTGTGTAAAAGTGAGGTAGCATTTGTTGCTTTTTCCCTTTTCTTGCATGACAAGATTTCAATCTTATTCTAAATTCCACAATTACTTTGTTTTTAGACACATTTTTGAAGCTCAAAATTAGTAGCTCAAGAACACTAAAGGGGATTCTCACAAATACAGCTCTACAATTCGCAATAACATCGGTTTGTCCTCTTTAATCTTTCGCAATTGTTATTTTGTTTTTCTAAGTGAAATTGATTCAATTTCTGAAGAATTCTCGATTGATTTCTGATTCAAAATGATAAACCCTAACCCTAATTGTTCCTTACTTTACCGATTGATTAATACCCACTGAATCTCGATTGATTGACAGGACATTTGTTTTTCTGCTATAATTGAATAAGGATGTTTCTCACCAGGTAATTTAATTGAGTTTTGAAACATTGATTGATTTATGTTGTAATTCCTTTCGAATCATTTCTGGGTTTTGACAAATCTCTTATTTGTTCATGTTGTTGCCAATAAAGGACTGAGTATGACAGAGGAGTCAACACCTTTTCTCCTGAAGGGAGATTGTTTCAAGTTGAATATGCAATTGAAGCTATCAAGGTATTTTTGTGTTGATTTTTTGTGTGTTAATGTGTCATTATCGTCAGATGGCGTGACCGGGATCATCCCCGGTGTATAAGATACGATTTTAGTGCTAACATGTTCTTTGATATTTGTCTAAATACAGCTAGGTTCAACTGCAATTGGGATAAGGACCAATGAAGGTGTTGTGCTTGTTGTCGAAAAACGTATCACCTCTCCGTTACTGGTACATTCAACTTACATGGTTACTAATTTTTATTGAGAACAATGTTAATTAAACCCTCTTTCATGTTTATTTTTTGACTCTTTAGAATGCCCCTTTTCCTGAAGTGGAAAGTGGAAACTTTTGCTGCAAGAGATCTTCCTTTATGTGAAATTTTTCTTGAATATAAGCTGTAACGAACTAGCATTGATAGATTTCCAGATAGACTAAATAGGATTTGAATAGTTTGGTTTTTGCTTGATGAAAGAAGTTACAAGGGCGAATGCGTAGCTATTGATTGGAAAATTGCTTCTTGAACTTAGTTCCCGATCAATAAATTCAAGTTAGATGTTTACACATAGGGTGTCGATAGGACTCTATACTTGGGGATGCTCTGGAGGAATCGTTGGGCACCATAAAGGCATAAATCAATAAATGTACTTCGTTTTGTTTATATTTATTTATTTTTGGTAAAATGTTTTTGCACGGTGAAAGAAACTATAAGGCGTATGAGTGTATAGCTTTTGATTTAAAAACGGCTACTTGAACTTGGTTCCTGGTCAATAATAATTAGGAAAATGTGTATACTGTGTATGTAGGATGTCTTTAGGACTCTAGAGATGGAAGTTTATATTTTCATATACAAGTGACACTTATTTGTTGAGAAAATTGGTGAATATTATTATTATTGCTGTTGGTCTTCTGGAAGCAAAAGTGTTTGCAGTAAAGATATTTTCTTCCCATAGATAATTTTTTCTTTGTTTGCTTTCTGGCCGCTTATTAATTAAACTTCTGCAAACCTTTATAGGCTAACTTGGGTTACTTCACATCAGTTCTACTGTGTAGTGAATCAATTTTAGGATTTAACAGATTGTTGAAGTTCCAAATTTCTTTCTGTGGCAGTTTTTTTGGCTCCGGCAAAACATCTTTATATTTAGGTCTTCCTCTTGTGCCCCATTCAAAAGCAAATTTATTTGGGATCGAATAATTGGGAAGGTTAAAAAAAAGCCTCTCTTTGGAAATTGGGTTGCAAGATATTGTACATTAACCTTATTAAGAGGCACCCTTGTCTAGTATGCTCAAGACAATAATGCAAGCAACATACAGATACTACCTCCGTTTTGTATTATGTGCAACAAATCTCTTTACACGGACTCCTAGGCAAAATTTATTTGTGAGTGTTAAATGGAGAGAGAAAGATAGAGATGCATATGATGAAGAGAGAGATAGAGAGAAATGATAACTTAAAAAGGGAATAAAACATTTGTTGCATGTAAAGTGTAACATCCACTTTTAATAAATGTTTGCACATAATATGAAACGGAGATTGTAGGAAATTTGTAAAATGTCTTTTCACGAAGAGAAAACTTGCTGGTGCAGTGTATTAATTACCAAGAAGTTTGGTCTAATTGAAAATGAAAGCAATTTCAAAATTGTATTAAGTTTGTTGTATTGATATTGAATGTAATTTTCCAGAATAGTAAACGTATTAGAGATCATTGATAAGGGTGGTTATTTTCTCTTGCCAAAAATTTCATTTAGTTAAATAGTTTCAAGGTGAAGATGGTTTTGGCATGACATTTGGCGTAGGATATAGCCTTTATAAGCATTTGGTCCATGAGCTGATACGTGTTTGGAATTAGGAATGAAACCATGGTAGCATTTGTTTGGACCTTGATGCTTAATATCAAATGTTTGGTAAATATTTTGGAATGATTTTTTTTCTTCATTTTAAGGTTTGGTATGAGCAAAACCCACCTCCCTCCTTGGGTTTCTAAACCCCATACCTTGAGGGTTGAGGTATGGGTTCAAATTTACAAATTTCTCAAACAAACACATGGTATGAGTTTTAGTCATTCTAAACCCATACCATATACCAAAATTCTGTGATCCAAACACCCCCTTAGAGGTTTAATTTCCAGATCTATTGAAAATTGTGTTGCTTAAGGAGGCAATTGCTTACGAGGTGGTAACATAAAAGATTAATCGAAAGCATTGGGCTGTTTCTTTTCAAGTTTCGTGATGATTGGATAGAAGATTCAATCGTAAGGATTTTGCATACTTTCTTTGAGGGAGAACCTGATGGAAATTATCAGGCTATGTTTGCTATATGATGGGAATGGTTCCTTTTCTTTCAAGAACTTTTGCAAAGTTTTTTTTAAGAAATTTTTTTCTTGAATTTCTTGCCAATGAAATTCGAAAGATGAAGGCTTCTCAAATTTTTATGTATGCTTAGTAGTAGTCAAGAAGAAGAGTAAAATACCCCATAGATAATGTTCTGGAGTTCAATCTTGCTTGCCTTTGTTGCTTAAATCAAGAGGAGAGTCTGTTGCTTAACCTCATCCCTTTCTATCCTTGGATTCTATTTCTTTGTCACTGATCCTTAGTTTTGATTGGAATGAGTTGAGTTCAACCTCATTCTGTGAAAAATGTTCTTGAGGAATGGAAAAGAAGGATGAAGAAAGGTTTGATGGCTGATGAGTGGATAATGTTTATGTTGGCAATCTGGCGGTGGGCTTGGATTGAAAGAAACAGCAGATTATTGAGGGTAGAGGTTTCTTGCTTGGCTGACAGTTCAACTTTCCCTTTTGAGTCTTTTGTGATGGTGAAGACAATAGGTTTTGGCTATACTTGACTTTAGTCAAAATTGTAGATAAAACACTATATGCTAGCTTGAGTTCATGATATTTTCGTATTCTACATGAATATATGCTGTCTTTAGTTTTAGTCACCAAGTATTCTACACCATGTAAGTGTGAATCCAGAATAGATATTACTTACACTACTAGACAATTATAACGTGCAAAGAGAATATAGACCTAAAATAGGATAAAGGACAGTGTTAGATTCATCACAGTGAAGATTTAAGTTCTACTTTTGAGGTAGTTGTCCTTTGACCTTCCATATTCTCACAGTAAGAGTAAAGCATTAATATCCTAGGTTCTTTACATCTTGGAAGAAGATTTGGGAATTCATAGAGATTGCTAGTTTGCTTGAAAAATTTGTGCTTCCTTGAAATTCCTGCATAAATTTCAGGTAAAAAATTTATAATTTTGATTGCTTAATGCAACTGGGTGTCCTTGACATGGAACAATTAGGTAAAATGCTAGTCCTGCCAATTATATTAACTTAGGAGGCAAAGATTTCATATTAATTATTTTTTCCTTGTGCCTGTTGTGAATTATGGTGATTTAATTTTTTCCATTGTGTGAAAGATTGATTGTGAGCATTACTGTCTTTGAATTTCTTTCAGGAGCCTAGCAGTGTTGAAAAAATCATGGAAATTGATGAACATATTGGGTGTGCTATGAGTGGATTGATTGCTGATGCTCGCACACTTGTTGAGCATGCAAGAGTGGAGACCCAGGTACTTTAACATCTTTATTCATTGGTTTATTGTGAACTTATTTTATTAGTGCAATATGGGCAGAAATATTATTGTTTTGTTCTATTTCCATGCAACAGAATCACAGATTCTCTTATGGTGAGCCAATGAATGTTGAATCTACCACACAAGCTTTGTGTGATCTAGCACTGCGTTTTGGAGAAGGAGACGAAGAATCAATGGTGAATTACCTTTTCTTTAAAACTTTAGTTGACTTCCTTCATCCCTTGTATTTGCAGCAGGGAGGTAGACTGTATTGTTTCATTATTGAATATATCTATGGAACTAGGATGTAGTGCAAGTATCAAACATTCAAGCGGACATTCAAAATGATTGTGTGTCATGGGTATGTGCGAATGGGGATCACTTCTCCCTATCTCCCCAACGTAAAGATAGGAAGTAATTGAAAAACTGAAGTAACTATAGAAAATGGAGTTGTTATTCTTGCCCCAAAACTACATAAACTGTTTAAATAAACTGTGGAGAACTTGGGTTTTATTCCACCAATGATGCTAGATGCCACATAAATTATTATGTATCTTTTAGGTTTGTTGCTGAACAATTCACACAATCACAGCATAGATTTGATTATAATCAACTTTTTTTCTTTTCCATCTTAAATTTGGTGCTCGGGGGAGTAAGAAGATATGAGTATGTTCTAGTGCATTTACTGCAAAGACTAGATTATGAAACTCCTGGATTTTGCAACGAAGGTAGTGCTTTCTCAGGAGACGTTACCTACCCAGAATCTTACTATATTAAACTGTCATTTCTTGATTCTGTGCTTGTTGAGAGCAGTTCCAGCAATGCTTTAACGAAAAAGGCTGCATCTTCTTGGTGCCAAGTGCTATTCTGAGTAGAACAATTGACTCCAGCTACACAATAGCTATATATTCTTCCTACTTCCATAGGAGCCCATTTGCTGATTCCCTTCTTTTCCATTACACTACTGCTTGTTCAGTTGTTCCTCTCACCCCCCTTCTATGGTGATATGGACTCTTATAATTGCGTTACAGAGAGTCAATTTTTCCTCTACTGTAGGGATCCTTCTGTCCCATGTGTTTCTAATGTAAAACTTTATGTCTTTGCAGTCCCGTCCTTTTGGTGTATCTCTTCTCATTGCAGGTCATGATGAAAATGGACCCAGCTTGTAAGTCTACTTATTGGATATCTTGTATATACAGAGGATATCTCTTAGTTTTTGGTATGTGCTCTACTTGTTTTTTTAAGGGTTTTTATTGATGTAAGCTGAAACTCTTTCTCATACAGGTATCATACAGATCCATCTGGTACATTTTGGCAGTGCAGTGCTAAGGCTATTGGTTCTGGTTCTGAAGGTGCAGACAGCAATTTGCAGGAGCAATATAGAAAGGTATGTCCACTGCATGTTATGTGGTACCTCTCACATAGGAGTGAGGTTAACTGGTTACCTTACCATAGATGCTTGGGTGTTGCTATATAAACTTTGAATGTCAAGGTTTTTTTTGTTTTTTTTTTTTTTTTTTTTTTTTGATAAGGAAATGATATTAATGAGTATAAATGACCAAAAGAAAAAAGACCTGCAGGCTGCCGAAACCCATGTGTACAAATTATTGTTTCAGGCACCAATTTATAAGTAAAAGGTTGCTAACAAGGCTCCAAAAGCTGGTTCTTAAAGGTAGCAATAAGATAGAATCATTCTATGAGCTATAAACCAAGTAAAAGGTTGCTAACAAGGCTCCAAAGCTGGTTCTTAAAGGTAACAATAAGATAGAATCATTCTATGAGCTATAAACTACTCCCTCCAATCCTATTTTTCCATTTTATTTGGAATCGGGAAGAAAAGTAAAACGTTATGAGAGAAACAATTTAAATAATACTCCCTCCATCACTTTTCTATGGTTATGTTTATTTTGGGCATTCCCTCTATGGTTACATTTCTAAACTTTCCTAAAGTAGAATACTAATTTTACACATTTCCCCCCATATTTTCACATTCCTAATACACTTATACCTACTTCCAATGCTACTATTTCCATTTACCAAATATGTACATAACCCCAAAGTAACTATTCCAAAATATAATATTTTCATTTACCAAAATGTTCACCTTATTCTAGAACAAATATTCTCATTTACATACATCCGAAGTTATTTTCTTTCTTAATATCCGCGTAAAAAAACAAACATAATTGTAGAAAAGTGATGGGAGGGAATAGAAATTCTAATTTTTACATAAAACTTATCAAAACAAAACAAAACAAAAAAAAAAAAAAAGGAAAAAAAGAGGGACCTGGTAGTTGATATGGTGATTGGGAAGAGAGAATGATGATTAAAAATTGGAATCATGCATGGGGTAATTCAATTAGATGAAAATTGTTCTTTAAAGTTGTATGGAAAAGTGAAAAAGGTACTCTCCTTGTTCCTGAAAGAGGGGGTACGTTTGCTATTTTAGGCGTTTGTCTTTAATGATTATGTTTTAATTATTTCCTACTCCCTCTGTTCCCGAAAGAAGGTTACGTTTGGTGCTTTTTCACGGTTAATAAGGATAATAAGATAGTGGAAAATAAGTATTAAATTAAATTTGAAAATAGAAATATTTGTATTGGGAGTAGGTAAATATTTTTGTAAATAGGAATTGATGCTTAGGGAATATGTAAATATTTTGATAAATGGGGATAGTTGCATGGAAAATATGTATGTATGTGGGAATTGTGTAAAAGAATAATTGAAACGTAACCATTAAAGGGGAATGCCAAAAAGGGCAAATGTAACCCTCTTTTAGAAACGGAGGGAGTAGATTAAAATAATTATTTATTTACACATTTCCCTTATACATACATTTTCTCATGTAACTATTCCCATTTATCAAAATATTCATACATCCCCAATGCGACTATTCCTATTTATAAAAATATTTACCTTTTCCCGATGCAAATATTCCTATTTTCAAAGTTGTTAATGCCTTAATACTTGATATATGTGGCATCTAGTTATTGCTTTCCACCATTTTATTTTCTTCTTATTAATTGTGTAAAACCACCAAACGTGACCACCTTTTGGGAAGGAGGGAGTAATAAATTTTGGCACATTAACCAAATAATTATAGGAAGGTTGATGGGAATTTTTTGACCATATATCAAAAGATTTATATGAGAACAACTTTTGAACCTTCCTAATTGGATTTGGGAAGAACAAATATCGGAGGGAGTAAAAAATTTGTGTTGGAAATTGTCTCATTTCTTTCATGATACTACCCAAATATTGAGCTTTGCCAGAGAACTGTCTGATCTCCTTCCGCTCCTTAAATTAACATAGTTGTTAATGCTCTTAAATTGAGATTGGACAGGTGCAGTCTTCCAAAATTTCCTTGAACCTCTAAGAGTTTAAACTTTAAATCCCTGAAAGATAAAATCTTTTTGATGTGAAACAAATAACTCCGTATCTTGGCACTTTTATTACAACAATAATCAAGCATCTGACATTCTAACTATTCCTTTTTCTGGCTGTTGGTTCTGCAAGTTATGACCAGTATTAAGTTGTCATTAGTTTTTGTTCCAGCGAAAGCATTTATCCTTTCTTGGGAGGCTCTGACCTTCAAATAAAATTTGGGACAGGAATATTTTGAAAATTATTTGATAAGACCATCTATCAAATGTGAGATAACACCCTCTACATCTGTATTTATGAGAAATCACCTTTCATGTCAAATTTATTAAAAAAGGTGCCTTTTCACCAAATTTTGGTAAAAAGTCAATTCTGATAATTTTCTCCTCCTTTTTTTTGTACATGTACTCTTTTGCATGATTTGCACTCACAATTAAATCTTAATCTCTCTTAGGGGTTGCCCTGGAATGGGTGTTTTTTGTAATGGGAGGGGGAAAAAAGAGTAATAATTCTGACATTTTTTTTAGTTGTGATCTGGGTAACTAAATAAGGGGATCAATAATTACCCACCTCCCCTAGTTAACTATTTCCCTTGTAAAAAAAAAAAAAAGAAGTTACTCTCCTCTGCTATACTATATCTTCTCTCTCCTCTGCTATATACTATCTCCTCACCTCCATATCTCTCCGCCATTATAATGGAAGCAGCTGGCTGCCACCATAGCTGCATGACAAAGCTCACCAACTCCGGCGAATGACGAACAAGTACCTCAAATTGGAGCCATTGGTTGAACAGAGTTGATCTAAAGGTTAGGGCTTTTGATCCTTCCAGTGAGGCGATGCTCGTGGTGGTCTCAATTTTATCATTGACATGGTTGCCGCAGATGGCCCTGAAGTGGTAGTCTTTACCCCAAGATTGTTGTCAAACCTTAGAAAATTAAAAATTACCCCCTAAATCAACACTCTAGTAGCATCTAACCCATTAAATATTTTCTGTCTTTACTAGCTTTCCTGTTCAATTCCCAAATCTGACAAAAATTGAATTTCCAGCCCAATTAGCATTTTTTTTTTTTTTTGGGTCAAATCAGTTTATGGGTAACCTCCCTCTGCCATTCTATCAATTCTCTCATCAACCCATTCAAAAAATCAACAGTCCACATTTTCATCTGTGCAATATGAAGATTGCATCTGCATTGCATGGGTCCTAAAGGACTTGATGGTGCAGAATTTGAAGACATTATAAGTGAAACAATGGGTTACAAATTGCAAAATTCAAGTCATCAAAAATTTTAAAGCCCAAATAAAACAATTGAAGAAGCAGAACACCATTACTTGTCAGGCAAATGTCCTGCCCAAATTACTGGGAGCCCTTCAAATAGATTTTTTTTTTCCCGACTCTTATGTTTAGATAAGGTGAATGATGAGTGGAAGTTGTCTCTTGTGTTTAAATACAAACAGTGGAGGGGTGGGAATTCAATGGTGTTGGAGTTAAATAGGGAAGAAAGAAGAGATTATAGCCAGATAGGCTAGTGTTTGTGGGGGAAATGGGGTTTTAAATTGTGAGCGTATTTCATGTGCCAGAGTCATTATGTTTGACTCGTTTAGTATATGGAGAGAAGGGAAGTCAAATGTCAAATGCTAGACTTGTTCGCCGGAATCTGGTGAAATGGTGTTTTTTTTATTATTTTAACAGAATTGACATAAAAGGTGTTTTCTGGTAAAACTAAACATAAAAGCTCTTGTTCAAGAAACTTTGTTTGGTGAGATAACTATGATTGGCTGCTAGAAACACCTAAACATACACGATTACACGGTATATATGCTTCTCCTTATAAGAGACTTTGAAAAGTCCAATAAAATCGATAACCTCCTCCTGGAATCCCACTCAGCCTACAATTTTTCTGCTTCCTTTTGAAGATTCCAGTTATCAGAAAGCCTATTGACAAGAAACCTGAGATTCAGAAGCTGGTCAAAAAGTTGTAAATAGGGTTAATACTATCTTCTTGTTTTCTTTGTTGCTCGGTTACTCTAATTACCTTGCTATACCTGTGTTGGACATTTATGTAATACCTTAAAAGGATGTAGACAAGTGAACAAAACTCTAAATTGTACAATCTGCTAAAGGAGGTAATCTACACAATATGGAATCCGGAAGGAATCCACAAAAATTCTAAACATTGTAAAAAAGTATTTATGGAGTTTGAAAGCTTTTCATCGTAGTATTTGTGAAACTATATCCACCAGGCCCTTTGTTTTTTCCACAACAGGATTTGACCTTTCAAGAAGCTGAGACTATAGCTCTTTCGACCTTGAAGCAGGTTATGGAGGAAAAGGTATTTTTCCCCCTTCATTATAGTTTTAGTTGTGAGAAAGGATTTGTGTCATTGGTGCTCTAACAGTCTAGCACTCTAACCCTCCTTTTGTGTTGCAGGTGACACCAAACAATGTTGACATTGCTAAGGTTTCCCCAACCTACCACTTGTATACTCCTGCTGAAGTGGAGGCTGTCATTGCTCGCCTATGAGAAGCACCCTACTTTCAAATGGCATTCCTATCTTTAGTACTTCCTATTTGACCGGCATTGATATACTTTCTAGAGCTTAGATTGGGGAAATGATGTTAGACCGTACGGTGGCCGAAGACTTATTTGAACTCTTATTTGAATGTATTCAAAGTTGCTGTTAAAGAACTTAGTACTTCCTATTTGGCCGGCATTGATATGCTATCTAGAGCTTAGTTCGGGGAAAAGATGTTTGCTTCCTTCTGAATCAGAGACAGTATGTTGCCGGGAACTTATTCGAACTCTTATTTGGATGTATTCAAAGTTGCTGTTAAAGAACTTGAGATAGGAAATTATTGCTAATTTTTTTATGCTTCCAAGACCTGCTTGCCATTTTCAATTGTTAATTTTCACGTTGCATGATTAGTGAAGAAGTTTCTGATCTCACTTTATCAACCGCGAGTTTATGAGGATTTTTTTTTTTATGCAATGATCTAGCAATCTACCAGCAACTTTTCCCGGAAAAGTTGGTCATAATTTGTTTAGGTTCTCATCTCAAATTTTTTGGGAGCGTTGTGAAATACGTAGTACATCTTTCATTCTTTTATGTTATCTTATTTATCTTGCTAGAATTAAAAGATGAGTTATGAAGTATTTCTTTCGTTTTTTATGTTATTTATTAGTCACTTTAGATTCACGCATGACATGTATAGTGAAATGGATGAACTACAGATGTACGACAGTAGGAGCATATTTCATTTCGTACTATTGCAAGTAACCATTACTAGCGAATCTCCTATATAATTCAGACCAGCGCATCTTCTATAGATCAAACATCTATGAGCGTAGTAACTAGTTACGCTGTTATAGTATTTCACTAGGTAGTCTTCTAACAATATATGTAGGAGCAATCCCACAGAAAGATTAGAGAAGTATGTGTTGATTTATAATGTTAGTGCACTTTTGGTGATGTCAACAATTATACTCATTTGTTTGTTTCCCACATTGCCTAAATAAAATGGGCTTGTAATGTTTATGTAACTTGGATCATTTTATATTGCAAATTAGGGAGTCCCACATGGATAGTTTAGTTTGGGCATTAGATGTATATAGTAGTGCTTGCATTATTCTACATGTTTGAAAATAGAGCAAAGATTATGCATGAGCTTAGTGTTGATATATACTCTTTGCACTTATCTAATCAGTTTTTCTCTATAAATAAACATGATTAATTTCTCCAAACTATGTTCTTTCTTCTCTTCTCTTCTCTATAAAAAAACGTTCATTGAGTGTATATTGATTTTTGCAGTCATAAAACACTAGTATCTTAGGGAAAATCCTGGAAGTATCTTTGCCATCTCCCAAGTGCAAATCTAGTGGGGGCAAATAATACTCTAAGGACAGTGATTCTTCACGTTCCATTGATTATTTTCCTAACATACGCATCTCAAAATGTTTTCAAGGCACATATGGTTACGAGCATTACATTGTGGAGGCACATCACTCGTATGGGTGTGTCTAATACCTTTCAGATCGCCAGGGCAATTGTTGTGGTTCTATAAGCTGGCATTTTCACGCACAAGCGCTGTAATTGGTTTTATTGCAAAATCGTTCATGCATAACCATTGAAGATGTAAATCATGCATATGGAGAGGCAAAAAATATATATCTTGTTGCGATGTTAATCAATTTTTATTGCAAAGCATATATAGATATATATATTCTTCTATTCCATCTTATACATAAAAAATTGCTCCATATCCTCTCCATTTATGAGTTTCACTTTTCTTGTCCTTGATTCTAAGCAAATTTAGAGATTAGATGAGTAAACAAATATGACGAAAAAGCATTCATCTCATATTAGTTCGACCGATAGTCCTCTCCTCTTTTAACTGTGCGCTTGCTTTGGAGAGTCCTTTGAGGAGAGCTTCTTTGGAGAGTAAGGATTAGCCTGCTGTTCTGTTGTCAAAGTACTCGAACGTGTCGGGGTACTTTGGGCAGTTGAAGATGCACTTGGGGGTGACTGGCATTCATTGGCTACGTAGTCAAGGGCCACTACAATGTCGCTCATACAGGGTCGTAGGTTTGGTTCATCGTTTAAACACATGGAGGTAACAGCAATCAGGTGGCGAGCAGAGCGAGTAGGGAACTTCCCCCTCAGCCGAGGATCTACTATCTCAATGTACTTTCGTCGATCTTTCAAATAGGGACGAGACTACGACCGTTTTAAGATGAAAGAAGTTAATATAATGATCAAATCTTGTATGCAAAAGATGTATGAAGAGACTTATTCTTGCTTCAAAAATTAAAACTTCAGCTTTTGAATCTTACCCAAACAACTAGACTCTGATGGCCATGCATCTTTGTAATGTCGAACGCCTTCCTTCCTGTGACAATTTCCAATAAGACTACGCCAAAACTGAAGATGTCAGATTTTAAGGTAAGTTTTCCAGTCATAGCATATTCCGGAGCACAATATCCAAATGTTCCCATCACCCTTGTTGACACATGAGTGTTGTCATCCATAGGACCGAGCTTTGCAAGTCCAAAATCTGAGAGCTTTGGGTTGAACTCGTTATCCAACAAGATGTTGGCTGACTTGAGATCGCGATAGATTACAGGTGGCTTTGCAACACAGTGTAGATACTCTAGTCCTCGTGCAGCACCAGCAGCAATCTTTACCCGCGCATTCCAATCTAGGGCATCTTTGTCACTCTCAAGATCTAGAAAAAAAAATTACAAATAGAAAGCTAAATGACATTACATAATGATCCATGAAACAGCAATAAGAAACTGAAATTACAGTCCTGTACATGACTGGAAAACAGGCAGATGATTACCGAAAAGATGGTCAGCCAAGCTGCCCTTGGGCATGTACTCGTAAACCAAGATTCTTTGATCGCCTTCAGCACAATAGCCAATCAGAGTGACCAGATTTTCATGATGCAGCAAGCTTAACATCAAAACTTCAATAATGAACTCCTGATTGCCTTGAAGACTGTCCAAAGTAAGCCGTTTAGCAGCAATTAACTGCTTATGAACAGAACAGAAAGAAAAGGGCAGATGAGTTAGTAAGAAAGTCGTTACTATATCAACACATCACATAATCACATTCCATAAAACATGAGATTAAATCTTTTAATATAAAAATTTTTCCTGCAGATAGTCGCAAACAGAGAGACGTCTTAAGCTAGATGTTTAGCTTAGCTTGAGGCTTATGTAGCAGCAGTGAGCTAACAACTTCTTTCCTCTGCTTGGGGTTATGACTTCAAAGATATGTTCATTTAAAACTTTGATATTCAGAATTTCTTCAGCTTATTATTTCCCTTTTCGGATCATTTTAAGGGGTATGTACAAAATAATGTACAACTATTGAAAGAGTTTATTTTGATGAAAGTTGTTCTTTTATCATTGCACAATAATTTAAATACGAACTTATAATCTTCCGTAAGCAAATCATCAATAAAAATAACAATAAACGAACGAAAAAGTTGGTTCTGCTAGGTATCAGCAGTTCAGATTCTTCAGAATTTCGCACATATGGCTAAGACTTGATAACAACTTCAAAGGATCCAAATTGGAAGGAAATCCTTTATCATGAAAAGATCGATATAAGCGATCTTCTTTCTCAGTTTCTCAGTTTGCAACCATTTTCTTTGTAATTCAATATCAGCAGACAGCAGCTACATAAAGATTGGTGTAACAACACATGATCACATCATAAAATTAAGCACATATAAACCTATTAACAAAGGTTGAATTCGAAATGCTTGAACCTGGTATAAGAAATTTTAACATGGAAAGGTAATTTACCTGCCCATTATCCAAACGACCCTTATAAACCTTTCCAAAGCCACCTTCTCCGATCAAATTAGACTCCCTAAAGTTCTTTGTCGCGACTACAAGGTCCCGGAAACTGAAGCTCTGAGCTGCATTGGCTATTGTATCAACCACATTATTCTGATTATCACCTAAGGACCCCGTTTTTCTATCATGACCTGCAGCATATCATTTTTAAAGTAAGATAACACCGAAACATAATTCTAATTCATCATCGAGTCATGAGTGAGTTGTTATAGGCTTATAGCTCTCACCTGCTTTTTCAAAAAGTGAATTTTCCTTCCCATCTGCATCAAAATGCACAGGTTTGAAAACAACTCTATAAATGTTTTCAAAATTAACTTCACTAGTTTATTGGGATTTTCTAATGAAAAAACCCCTGAGTTTTCACAAAATCTTAATTACAACTCTATAAGCATTTTTTTCCTTTCGAAATGCCACGTTCAATGTTTTCTGTTGTAATTTGTAAATCAGATTAAAAAAAATAGTGCTCCTTACACAAATTTATCTCTTTTATGTTACAACAATTCCTTTCATAATTTAATTGATTCTTATTGTTGTATTAATTTAATAATTATATATTTATATCTATGATGGCATAAAACATTGAAAGTGCGTAAACCACTTTACCACCTTCCAGACCCGGGTTCGAGGATCATAACCCACTCGCTTAAAGCCCAAGGAAAGTCGTCTCCCTCCTCACCCGTGTACCATGAACCATTCGCTTAGAGCCCAAGGAAACTCTCCTAGCCCCAACTAAACTCAACCTAATGATCCGAATTGACACCTCTACCTAGGAACCCCACATTGCGACGATTAGGGCCATGACCCACCCAGGTTCGAGGATCATAACCAACTCCCCTAGAACCCTACGACCCCTCCCCCCCCAAACACACACGTAAAGGAACGTACAGTTCATTAAAATGATTAAAGTGCATGTACTAAATGTTAAAAACAAATTCCTTTTTTTTTCTTTTTTCTTTTCTTATTAAAAAATAAAACTATACGAAGTATATTAATAATTTGCAATAATATAAAAAATAAAGTGAAAAAAGGGAGAAGAAGAGAAACCTGGAGTGTAAGAATAAGAGGGAGAATCAGGATTAAAGAGCCTCTCATCTTCAAAAGGAAACCTCTTTTTGGGTATATTTATGCATGAAAAACAACTCATAATCATCGATTACAAGCACAGAATTATTTGTTTATTTAATATCTAAATTAATTAAATAAGAAGATGAAAATTATTAATTTGTAAAGATGGAATTTTTCCCCTTCAAGGGGAAGGGGAAGAAAAGAAAAATCAAATCCCCAGAATTCAAGAAGAAAAAATTTTGATATTTTTTCTTTTGCTTCCAAAAAAAAGACAAAAAGAATGAACACTATTTCTGGGTATATTATTTTGAGAGGTAGAACATAAAATTTGGAACCCCAAAACAAGAAAATGAAAATAAGGGTTTAAGAACAATTATTTAAGATGCCTTTTTGTTTTTTTTTTCCCCCAAATTAAATGCTTTTTATTTTATTTTTTTTTAAAAAAAAAAAAAATTGAAACCAAGATTGTAAAGGTTGGTGGAAGTGTTTAAATTAGGAAAATAATCATGATTATGATTATGAATATTGATTTGGAATCTACCAAATAATTTAAGGAAAGATTAATTATTTAATCAAAGATTACTACGCGGATATAGAGTTTAATTTTTTTTTTGCTAAATTTGAAGTCATTTTCTTTAATTCCTCTTTTTACTCGCCACCTATGTCTTTAGCTAGCTCATGGGTGAGGGAATTTGAGTTGTCTTAGCTCAATATTCAAATGTTTTCCTTATCGTCTCTCTTTTGAGTCGGACCTAATAATTCAACCCAAACCTAACCAAGAACAAACGAATTTAAGTTCAAATTATTTTCGAACCATCTAATTAGAGGTAATAATGAGCTAGACTACGTACTAGTTTTCCGCGTATATATAGTTGTATATACTTTCTTCGTTCTTTTATTATTGCACCATAAAGGTTGGACATATTTTTTTTAGTAGTGGGAAAAAAGAATAGAGAGGTGTAAAAATATAAAATTACGCATATGATATAAACATAACTAGTTAATCAAGTGTTAAAAGTATATTAGAGTTATTTTGTTTCTAAAATAAAAATGATATTTCTCAAAAAATAAAAAGAATAATATGGTGTAATATTTATGAAACTTTTGTTTTCTAAAATATAAATGGTGCAATATTTATGAAAACTTCCTTAAAAGACATGATGCAATAATTAAAAAACAAAGAAAGTACACCATAAATTATCCAGTTATATATAAATTATATCATAATTAAGTTGCATAATTGTATAGTTGTATGTGTCTTATTTAGATTTAACGTCAGTATCTACAGCTAGGAATTATGCTAAAATACTGATGAAGATTCCAATACGTGGGATCCAACACCAACCACTACTTACAAGTCAACGGTAAAAAATAATTACGAAGAATTAGCAGCATATATAAATGACATTTTATATAGTAGCACTTTTATGAAGTTATTATTAGTGTAATATAATTAATCAAGCAGAAGACGCGATGTATCATACTTCTGAATTAGGTTAAATCAATTATTATGAGAGACTCGTTACATAGTCTATATATATTAATCATAATTAGCATCAACCCAATATAGATTGATCAAATTATACTCCGTATATAAAGAGAGTTTTAATATACGACTATACGAATGCATGTTAAGCATAAAAATTAAATTGAGATAACACAAAAGTGAAAAGTCGGCATTGGAGACAGAAGAGCCATATTTATTGGGATATATTTTAGGAGATGTGATAATATTGTATTATAATCCGCATGTTCGATGGTAGTTTGGGTTATATGGGGCTGATGAAACGATTGAAAAGGAAATGGCAATTGAATGGCGATTTATCGCTTACTGACATAGGAAGCAAGTACTTCATTGCGAGGTTCAATAATCAGGAGGATTATAATTTTGTTCTTACTCAAGGCCCCTGGTTAATTGATGACAAATATCTTACAATCAGAATTTATTCCGGAGGAGGCTTCAATCAAAGTGTTAACAGCGTGGGTAAGAATTCCGAATTCATCGGTTGAATATTTTGATAAAGAGTTCCTCAAAAAGATTGGTGAGGTAATAAGGGTGGATAAATCTACTGAGACTTAGTGTTGAGATTGATTTATCGAAACCTTTGTTATCAAAATTCTGGTTGAAAGGTAAGATTTGGCGGATACAGTACGAGGGGATAAAGCAAGTATTCTATAATAGTAGATCAAGTCAATAATATGGTCTCAAATCCTATAGAGCTTGAGCATCTGAAAGAGGTAGAAAAAAAACCAGAGGCCAGAAGAAAACCAAGATTTTGGATCTTGGATGCAGGTGAAAAAACCAGTGAGGAAACGAATTAACACGCCAGATAAGAATAATCTGGTGATCGGAAAAGAGGATAATCCGGTGGGAAAATTCCAAGCAAAAGGAAATACACAAGTTCAAAATTCAAAACAAATCAATCCTGGAGATTCGGGTTCTCGATTTGGAAAAGATAAGCTCAAAAGATATAGCAAATAATTCTGCTCAAGATTTGACCGAAGATAGTACTGGTGGGATTCCTATTAACCTTGGGGATAAATCACAAAATATTCTCCAAGATTTTAGTTTCCAATTGGGTGGCAATATACAGAAAAACAACCAATTGGGTGGCAATATACAGAAAAACAAGAATATTCAGAAGAATAATAAGGGAAATTTGAGTGGGAGTCAAAGTTACCAAAAAATAAGGGAGATGTGATCGGCGGTAGATTGCATGTTGATTTTGTTTTTGTTTTTGACTAAGCTTTAAATCCAATTGTATGAATCTTTGGAGTAGATTAGTAGTTGGAATTGTTGTGTATGTTGACAGGCCGGTTTATTTGTCTAGTTGATCTAGCCCATTTAGGGTTTGCAATTGAATTGAAACCGTTGAACAATCGTGCAATAAAGTTCTTCATTTTCTTTATATAGTTGATCTAGGATTTGCAATTGAATTGACATTGTATAATTGCAATAAAACTCTTAAATTTGTTTAGATAGTTGATCTACGGTTTGCAATTGAATCGTCGCAGTTAAGCAGACTTGCAATAAAACTATTCAATTTATTTATATAGTTGTAACCAGAGTTTGCAATTGAATTGCTACCGTAGAACATTATTGCAATAGCTGTTGAATTGATATTTTTAGTTGTTCGACAGAGTAAGAATGATAGCAAGCCAGAGAGGAGAACCAAAGATGGGAGATGTGATCGGCGGTAGCAGCAGAGACGTTACAGAACTTGCAGATATGATGGACGCTCTGTTGAAGCTGAGCCCCATTGAGGTTTTCTTTTTTTTTTTTTTTGATGTGAATTTCTATCTAGCTAATCTGAGTGAATGTTAATCGACGAAAGTTTCCGTATTGATTGAATAGCAAGCCCTTCAACTAATTTGGATATATATGAACCTCACTTTAATTTCTATCATTCGAATATTAATTTGATATATGTGATGGCTTCAATTAAAGGGGTTCCCTTGATGGCTTACACTTAGGCGCTATGGACCATATTAATCTCTAATTCATTTGCCCATCCATTACTTGTCAGTTTGAAGAAATTAGGTAAAATGTTTAAAACGATGATTGTGCTATGTGGTTCATGCACCTGATATTTAATGGCGTACTGTTATATTCAACTTGTTGTAACCATTTTGGTTTCTACGGTTCAGATATCCATAAGACCCGTCAATGAAGGCACATCGTTCCAATTTATAGCGTCTGATGACCTGCTTGCAATAATGGGTAGCAGAGAACCAGTTGCCAAGGCTTATTTATTGGAGAAATTAAAGTTGTTGTATCAAATCATGACATTTTGATGATGGATAAGGAGCCTACTACCAAGCAGCAGAACATTAACAATGACGACGATGATGACTGGGAGAGCTGTCCTTGTTATGGTGATGTTGAAGATGCTGATGTTGACTTCAACCTTGTCAAGAGACCTACCTCACTATATGATGTGAAGTTTCAGTCCTATTTGGAGGTCGCTGGCCACATCAAGGGGTATAACACCGGAACCAAGACCATTTGGGTTGGTGGCCATGTCCCCTGTGTAGCCGACCTTGTGAACATAACCACCAACTGTAAGAGCATTTTTTTGGCTGTTAATGACCACACATGGAGGGAGCTGCCAAACATCTAGATGATTACGTGGTTGTTAGGGTCGGTTAGGACACGGACAACTATTGCTTCCTTAGAAATCTCGCCCAATGTGTGTCTGGCTTGACCTTTATTGCTGTCACCGATCTAGATAACCACAACCTTGACCTCCTTTCCTTCCTTGATATGCCTCCCAATGAGCTCCTTACCCACTACAAGTTGGATCTTTCAGAGGAATGTAAAGATGCAGGAGTGAGTCAGGACAGCACTGTCAACATCAAATGGCTCGGCCTAAGACCTTTCGACATTGTACACCTATGGTGCTTGCTTCGAGGCTCATTAATGGAAGCAGTGTCAGAGTGACTTCAAAATGGTGAATGATCGGCTGTTAAGTGATCCTAGTTTATGCAAGAAGAAAGCGTGGAAGGCTGAGCTGAAACTCCTCTAAGATCACCCTATCTTCATGCCATTCCTGTTAATAAGCCCCAACCATGGCACTAGCATAGACTTAAACTACATCCATAATGAATACTTGGACAAGAAGTTGGACAAGAAGGATTGGGTTTAATTTAATTAGTATTTCCAAATGTGTCTATTTTGCTTGAAACCAGTGTTTGATGATTCTGAGAGTGTAGACGTTAAACCATTGAAATAGTATCTCATGCAATGCATCATAATGTTGCCTACATGTGTTGTGAAGAATATTTGTAGCATAATGTCTTGATGTTTTTCTTCAAGGATAATATGAGTTTTTCTCTTCTGAAATGTTGCTGCCCATTGTGCTTGTCAAGCACCTTTGACAATCATATTGACACTTCTTCTTATCATGCGATTTATGTTTTGGAAATCGTTCTCTTTTGGTTTTGGTAAGTCATGTAAACTGTATAAAAAACTATAAAAATAAAAATGCATCTAGTAATATAGAATGCATCTAGTAATATAGAATCATCCTCCTTGTTACACCCATAATTTAATATTGTCGTGTATTTTCCTTGAAAAGTATAATTGTGATACCACATATATATATATATATATATATATA